GTGGCCATGCACTGCAGTTGCCGCTCCTTAGACAAGTGCTTGTTTGCGAAAGCCTCTGTGAGATACAGTTTGCTCTGATTTCTTCCTAGGAAAGCCACGTGTGCACACGCGCTACTTACACCTTTGATGGGCTGCGAGCAGCTGCCTTTTTTGTATATCCCGTCTCTAGCCATCTTGTATACCCCATTTGCTCTTGTCAACGTGTCAGCTGTCGACTTCAGCTGTCACTCAGGATTCAGAGACTCGTTCCTTGAACAAACACCATGTGTCAAGTGGTGCCGTTTCTGATTTATCGAAGAGCAAACCTATGCATTCCTGGCTTTTAGGTTGCAGCAGGAGAGACAGACAGTGACGATAAACAACAAGACATACTCTGCAGAGTAGTTTACAAGGTGGGTGGTGTTAGGAAGGTAGAGCAGGTGCCAGTCAAAGTAGGGGTGAGGCTAAAGACCTCAGAGCAAGACTTGAGCGAGGAGAGGAGACGGAGGGAGCCGCGGAGGCGGTGGAGTTCTGGGGACAAACATTCTGTACAGAGAAAACCTGCAAAGGTCCAAAGTGAGATACTGCTTGACAGGTTTAAGGGCCAAGAAGAAAGTCCCAGGGACATACTTAATGTGTTTGTTTTTCAGTATGTCCTTGTGTCCTACAAGGCACTGATCTGGGTGCTAGGAACACAGAAACAAACAAAACAAAATTCTGTTCACTGGAATCTTCACTCTGGTGAAACAGGGGTGGTAACAAATGGCCACCAAGTGTTCACTGAATGACAAAAGGGAGTCACTTGTTCTCTTCAGGATGCATTTTCTAGTAAACAGCTGTTTCTGCTTCCTAGAGCAGAAGATCCTGATCCCCAGCCACTTTGGATAGCGAACTGTGTCACATGCTAAGGCTGAGGACATACTGGGCTGCTGCCTTCCAGTTTCACTATAGTACCAGAAATGAGACAACCAGGGATGGAGAGATGGCTCAGCCATTAAGATCACATATTGCTGGACCCAGGTTCGATCGATTCCCAGCATCCAGATGATGATTCCCAACCATCTGTAACTCTTCTGACCTCTGTGGACACCAGGCATGCATGGAGGCAAAAAACTCACACATAAAATAAAATGGGTAAATCTAATTAAAAAGAAACAGGGGAGCCACATATTGTCTCTGCAGAATACAGCCTTTGGTTTTTCTTCTGTATTCTACTGCCCAGATACTAAACCCCAGCACCCATACCAAGAGTATAGCTGGTACAACAGGAGACAAGGATGGTCCAGAGTCATAGCATGAAAGCCTTAGATAAATTAAACTTACTAGTTTAATGAAGCAAGTCTGGCAGCCAAAACTACAGCCGGCTCTATGAGCCCCATCCAGCAACTCAGCCAGACAGGCACTCTGGTCACAAGACCCAAGTGAGTTCAGTTGGCTCCCACTGTCTTCTTTGATCAGAAGGCCACCTGTGATTAACAACCGCTTAGTGGCTATGACTGGCCAGGGGTCAGCTGTCTGCTACAGTGGGAAACCCCTACCTGGGATTTCTTGTTGATTCTGTAACTAAGTTATGTTGTAGCTCCTTAAGAAAGGGTTTGAGTCTGGAGGGTTCCTCTGAGAAAAACTGGGTAAGTTTGCCAAGTGACAGATAACTGGGATGACTCTACACTGCCTCTGAGGAGAAAGGGAAACTACAGAGGGGACTGAAGCTGTCACTGTCCCAGCAGCAATGAAGAGTCTAAAGAGGGACTCTGTGCCCCTCCCTTTGACCCCATGGGCTCTAAGGCATTGGAACTTCCCTGACAGCCTCAAACTGGGGGAAGGGAGAAGCAAAGCCCCATGCCACCAGAGGAAGAACCATCTCTGGGGATGAGACTGCATTTCTGAAGACTTATCTCACTGCAGTGGAAGCCAGGATGGCTGGACCATACCTTGACCAGGACTTGGCTTTATTTCAACTTCAACACTAGGTCAGAACTTCTAAAGTGGACTTGTGGGTCATGGGTTCACCAAACCTCTTTATTTGTTCCTCTTGTCTGTGTAGCCACATTGAATAATCTCCCTTCTCCATTTTCCACTATTGCATGTATCTATAATTGATGTATTGAGCCTAGCTTCTCAGGGCTGCTATTGCCCAGGCTTATTTTCGACAAACTCCAGTAACAAGAAGTCCCCAGGGACTGGAGAGATGGCTCAGTGACTAACAGCATACATTGCTTTTCCACACATATATATATTCCACACCCCCCAACTGAAATAAATAAAATCTTAAAAAAGGGAGGCATGTAGTGGAAGTCTAAGACTTTTGAATATTTAAAGGGTGGGACAGGTGGACAAGGGGAACGAGCTGGTAGTGAATAGGCACCACTGTGCAGTACTGAGGATAGCAGGTAAGCGGCACAGAGGTGGGAGTCCGAGAATGGATTCAGCAACAGAACACAGTTGCCATTGGTGGCAGTCAGGGAGCCATGAGTGGGCTGGGAAATACACAGTCAATAAGGAAGAAGAGACACGGTTTAAGGTATTTGGCTATGAAAAGCAGGAGTGAAGATCACTTAGATGAGAAAACTACGGAACACAAGATGCCAGTTGACGAGTCTTCGTGGACAAGACCAACAAGCAAATGAAGCTAATGGACAAGTGAAAAGGCATGTTTTGGTAGATTCAGTCTGGGATTGTTTCCAACGAATTGTGCCTCTAGTGGTCTTGGTGAGGGAATCATTTTCCAGATCAATTTGGTTTGGAAACTGACTACACATACACACACACACATACACACACACACACCTCACTCAATAGGCTATAGAAATCCCTGGGGCTCCACAGGAATCCACAGAGTGGAAAAGCTGGTGTTGGGACATTTTCTAGGATCAAGGCTGTATTAGATATTTAATGTGAGTTTAGCTGTTACATTTGATCAATATTTACTAAACATTACAACACATCAGTATATTGCTAAATTGATGGTAATGGTAAGGATAGAAAAATTCAGGAATTTTTATGGATGTCAAAGAACAATAATTGGAAGAAAGAAAGTTAAACTTTGGCTCTCTCCTTTTGGAAGTTGACATGCTATCCCTACTGAGGATAAGCCAGAGGCCACAGTCATGGCCACTGCATCACCATGAGGTTCATTTTGATAAGTATCCCCAAGGTACTCTGGGGAAAGTTGGTACAAGGCACTGTCACTGATATCAGAATGCCTTTGCCTTACCTGTCAAGCTTGATGCCAGAAGGAGCTCTTCAGCTGGGATACAAAAATAAATGCTGCCCCAAACAAGACTGGTACTGACTCATCCTGGACTGGGTGCCATCAGACTGTTCTGAAGTTATAGAAGACTCGAAGCCTGCAGGTCCTCAGGACGGCCACCTTATTCAGCAGAAGAGCTGAGGTTGAGAGTCTCGGGAACACTGTATCTTGGGAGGACGGAAGCCACACAGAGGCAGGATCATTAAAAGATGGGGGACTTTGGAAAACATACATCTATAATGTGATATTTAAACATTTTAAATGCCAAAATTCTTAAGTGATATCCCTATTAGAACTTTATATGAGAAGTCAAGTTCATAATAAAGTTGTTACTGGAAAAAAAAATAAAAACAAAACCCCATAAAACCCAACCTTCCATAGTTAAGGTGTCCTTGGATGAAATTGATAAGTGAATTTGGAATATTTGATCATAATTAAGAACATGTACAACTGTAACCCAGCTGTCCTACCTGCCAAGTGATACAGGTGTTTAGGATAGCCCTAAACAGCTTAAAAAACAAAAACAAACAAAAACAAAAAACAAAACAACAACAACAAAAATCTGAAAAGCAAAAATTTTCATACTTGTAGAGTTTTGGTTAATATATTATCTGCATGATAGAATACTACACAGCCTTGAAGAGAATGAAGAATTTTGACATGGGATTGTCAAAAATACATTCATCTAAAAGCAAATGAAGACTACACTATCATCATGCACAATACACATGGAATTAGTTTGCAAATACACACATTACATCTGAAAAGCTAGGCCAGCAGTGTTGCAATAGCTACTTGTGGGGAGGAGAAATGAAGTTGAGGGCAAGAAAGAATAGGTATTTTGTTTTGTTTCATGATCATATATTATACCCTCAGAAAGTGTTATTGTTGGAACCCTCCTCTTCAAGGGATGGGCAGAGAACTTACCTGGCATATGCAATGACCTGTGTTCAAGTGTGGTACCACAAAAACCAAACCAAACTAAACTAAATCACGATATTTATACCAACTCTGGTTCAGTGATGTTGGAAAGACATTTTTGTCAAGTTGGTTAATTTTTAGACCATCTCAACCTGAAATTTCCCCTCTCTTTCAGTAGAAGACTGAATTTGGTTATTACATCTCACTGTGAATTACTGGTCAAGTAAACCAGTATATGACACCAAATTCTTCATTTGAAAATGATAAGATGAGGAGAGATGATCTTGCTTTTGAAAGATGCCATGATGATGGCTCTCAGTCGTGTATTCAAAAAGAAAAATAGTACCATACCCTGGCAGGTCAGATAGTGTGCTTTGGCTATGGGAGATGGCTTAGGAGGCAAAATGCTTGCCCTGTGAATGTGGGGACCTGAGCTTGGATACCCAGAACCCAAGCAAAACTGGATACGGTAGCTCATGTCTGTAGCTTTGGTGCTCCCACAGTGAGATCTCAGGCAGAGGCTGGAGATTCTGGAAGCATGTGGACCAGTTGGCCTGATGAACACAGCAGTTCACAAACAAGAGATTATCTAAAGCAAAATGAAAGTTCGAGGACAGCCAAGACTGCCATCTGACCTCTATGCATGCGTCATGGCACACACATGCCCACATACACATTAATGCGGACACACAGACATCAGGCAAACAAAGGACCTTTTTGAGTTTTTTTTTTTTAAAGGACCCCTGTACAATTGATATTTTCACAAACACTGCATCCTTAACCACACTTTAAGATATCCCTTCCATTTTTCTTCTCTCTTTGAAGCACTACAGGAACAAGAGAAACAGACTCAACTGAAGAAATTTATTTACTTTTTCCCCTAGGTACATAGATGACATAATTATAGACAAGTTTTGATACACAGGAAACCCCTCCTGTCCACCTTTCTTTTTCTAAATGGATCATCACAATATTTTTTTTTTTACAATTTTTAAAACAATACACAGCTTTCTTGGGCTGAAGCAATTGCAAGAACGTATTGGTATTGGTATATTACAGCTACTTACAATGTTTAAGAACAGCAATGGAGAAAAATAAGTTATTTAAATATTGATTTCATATACAGAAAGTGCAATGTTGTTAGTTGTCATATAACTTGCTTGACAGTTTGTTTTTCTTTTTATCAATTTAAAAATCAAGATAACGTGGACGAAAGACAGTTAGATTTTTCTGGAACTTCACTCAATCAGCACACAGCAAGTGACTTGGGAACCTCCTTCGGTTCCACTGCATTTGTGAAAGACACTCTGCTGCGCCGGGGATACACTTCTCACAGAGGAATCATTTCCAATTTCATCCACACCTGGGGTCAGGACAGAGAAAAGGGCCCCCAAATACGCAAGGCCATGAAAAGCTATTTGCTCTCGTCATCTGGGAATGTAAATAGTAGTTTGGGCAGCTGCTTTCTCTGCAGACAGCTGTGACGTACAAATCACACACATTCTGGGTAGCTACCTGAGCCGAAACGCCTTTCCAGGTTTCTTTTGTGCTTTCCAAAGACAACAATTTTCACCGTCACTCAAAATTCTGTACCTAATGCAACTGATCAAAACTGGATATTGCTAAAGCCTGCCACCTGTCCGCTAACAGCCACAGGCAGCCCCAAGCCACCTCAGTGTCACACACCAACATTCAGGCTTTATTCAGACCAAATGAATTGTTAAAAGCAAAATAAAACAAAAATAAACACTAAAGCTATATAAGAAGGAAGGGAAGAAAGAAAGAAAAAAAGAAAGAAAACAACCTCAGCCCCTTCAGACATTCACACTAAATTCATGGTCCCTGAATTTAATTTTCCATGCAAAGGCAATGATTTCCAGAGTGATAAAAAATATTGTTTGGCATTCTCAAGACCTCTGGTGCTAGTTTGATTTAAAAGAAAACTCTACACTGAGAATGAACTAAAACTTGGAAATTCACACGTGATTTCTCCTTCTCCCTTGTTATCTCTAAAGAGACTTTTTGTAGTCTCTTTACTCAGCTAAAGTCCTGAGCAGAATCAGTTACAATGTCAGGCCTGGGGTTACTTCAAAAGCAAGGGGAGAAGCCTGTTTTCGTATACCAGCCCCACAACAGCATGCAAAACTGCCAGGATGCTGTAGCTGGCTGAGAACCCTGCATCCCCACCCATTAGGTGGGCTATGCCACAACCCAAGAGGCCAACCATGAGCACTTTTTTTTTTTTTTAAGTGCATTAGGAATTTGGGGGCTTTACCTTTTTATTTTAAATTGCCTCAACTTCTTCACATGGCATCTTATAGACGGCGAGTGGAAATGAAGAAACATGCATTGTTATTTTAAACGCATACCAAATGTGAAACTAAAATAAAAAAAGATCACCTGAGAATGTTCATTTCCTCAGAGACATGGATTCAGCCGTATAAAGCATACAGTCAGGATGGCTTTGTTATTAACAAAATCACTTGCCCTTCTCCCCTGAGGGAAATCATGTTTTAATAACCCAATGAAATTTCAGAGGACTTTTGGTCCAGGTCCTGTGTTCAAAGCGCTTCTATGATAACTTGAGACTCCACACAGAGCTTGTGAGAATATGAAGAAAAAACACTTTGTAAGCAATGGAGCCTGTGTACCTGTCTAAGTTGCCAATTGCTAGAAAAACCAGACACTAGACAGGGAGAGGATAGACTATGCTGAAATCACTGCTGGAAAAACAATGGAAAATATGCAATATTTAACACACAGCTAATGTGGCTTGTCTGGCTGTGTAATGAACCTTTGTTTGAATTAAAATAATTAACAAATGAAAGATTACAAAAAAACAATTATAGAACTGGCCAAAAAGGAAAAAAAAAAAAAACAAAGTTAAATAAACTGCATGTAAACTACTTCCCTTTTTAGAAAAAAAAATTTTTTTTCTGAAATTTGCAACATTACAATGTCTCTCTGCAAAGGTGACCCATTAGCTGATGACTCCATTTTGGAATAGATGTGGTCAGGATTCGTTACATAAATGCTGCAACGTCGTGACTACTGTGATGGCCACTCACTAAAATGAGTACAAGGAAGGACGGTCACTACTCATGCTCATGTGAAAATAGGTTACCCTCTGAGAGTGCAGATCGACTTGTACTGAAATTGTAGTTAGTTTAAAAGCTAAAAGTCAACATGAAATGTGTGCCTGGTAATCACCCCTACAAAATAAACCATGTTAGAATGAAACTGTTAAAAAAAAAGGTGGGGGGGCTATTTTTGCTGGAAACACCCCAAATACGTTAGATGGCAGTTTAAGCTGAAGACTTGGAACTAGGGTTAAGGGTTGCGGACACTAGATAGATAACTGATTAAAAGTTTATATTAAGGCAAATAAAAGCTAATTGCTAGAAAGCAATTAAAATGTCTCTTGTGTATCTACAGGAGAATAGGACTGTTCTGTTCTTGGTGTAGTCAGCTGTTCTCGCTTCTGAACAAATGAGTATGGTCAATAGTGTACAGAAAATCCAGAGTCTGTTGCTTTGGCCTAGCTCAGCCCGCGGGCTCCGGCATCCAGCAGGGTGACAACAGATAGGCAAGGGCACAATCAGACACAAGCAGGCCTTGGCCTCTCCTTCTAGCCCTCTGCGAGCACAAAGACAGACTGGATGCACAGTGTTTTGCAATAAGTTGGCATCTTGGCTCTTCTGTGTCTGAAAACAAAACTAAGTGCTTGTCTTGCCTTTGGGGCCCTAAGAGAACCACACCGATTTCCTTGGAGTGGGGGGTATTTTTTTTCCTCCGTTTGGGTTCGAACCCTGCGATTTGTGAGCCCCGTGTGGGGACTTTCCTTCTGGATCAGGTCAACCCCAGCAGATGTGGAGGGATTGTATCAGCTTCGTAAGCACAGTGGAAGGCTGGCTCTTGTCCAGGGAAGGCCATGGCAGGCCTGGCTACATGGCCTCGGGGCTTGATGGCAGTTTGAAGAGTCTGGCTGCGGATATGAGCTTCCTTATATGTCGCTCCTCTGTGATGCCCGCCTCCTGAAGGCAAGTGTGGGACAGGGAAGGCACTTGGCTCAGCATGCTGAACCCTGCTTCAGAAAGGGTGCTGGTGTACATGGGCAGGCCAATGGAAATGAGCCAATCCGACATGGATGCAACACATCCAGGAGAGAGGGGCTTTCTGCAGATTTCCGTGAGCCCGCCACTTGGGATCTGGGTAAATAAGGAAAGCCGAGTCATGAAGATTGCACAGGCACCACGAGAGGGTTTCTTTTTGTGTGGCTAAAAGGGGCAGCACTGAGCTACGCCAACGCTGAGAGATGCCCAACATTAAGAACTCTGATGGAGGAAGCCTTCTGTACATATATGTTTCTTATTGGTTGGTGAATAAAACACTGTTGGCCAATAGGGAAGCAAGATGGGTGGGACTAGGAGACAAGGAAGATTCTGGGAAGTGTAGTAAGACAAGTTGCTATGTGATCCCGGAAGGAGAGGACGCATGAGTCTGGCGTTCTAAGTAAGATAAAACCTTGTAGAAATACATTTATTAGTAGTTATGGGTTAATACTTGAGACAAAGGTAGCCAGTAAGAAGCCCTAGTCACCAGCCATCAGTATTCATAACTATTATAGCGTCCATGTATTCATTTGGGGACTGACACCGACAGCTCTGGGGACCAGGCTGGCGAGAAGAAAACTCACATTTACAGAACTCTGCTCAAAAAATGAAAAAGATTTTCAAGGAATTATTCTAGAAGATTCCAGAAGGAATCTGGGATTAGATCAGACCCCAATTACGTGTGTAAGGTTCCAAGCTGTAGGCATTTATGTCTATCCTGTTATTTTTGTTTCCATGAAATTCTTTACCTAGGGTGAACTGCAGAAACAAACCTGTATGACCTGTCGAAAAGCATCCTCAATGGGTAGGGTTTTTATAAAGCCTATTTTCTATTGTATTTTGACTATATTAACAACCAGAAAAATATTTAAATGTATATGGTTAATCATCAATTTAAAATACAATAATATCAAGAGTTGACTAGGGCAGAGGAATGGATGTTAAAACCCGATTGCTAGGGACATAAAAGGCTATCTTTCAGGAGATGTGCAGGGTATAAAAACCCACACAATTATGTATAATTGTGCATGCACTCATATTCACGAATGTGCACATCATAGGTGTGGAGGCCAGAGGCCAGAGGCCGGAGGTCAACTTTCCATGTCCTTTCTTAGGAGCTGTCCATCTTTTATTTTGAAACAGGGCCCCTCTGGCTTTCATTTGGACCTTTCTGAGTCAGCTAGGCTGGATGCTCAGAGCTCCAGGGATCCACTTGTCTCCACCTCCCAGCCACACACAGGGTTACAAGTGTGGGCCGTGACACCCAGATCCTTTTTCCTCGGGTTCTGGAGATAAGACCTGGGTCCTCATGCTGTCAAAACTGGACCATCTCTCCAGCCCTGGTTTTGTACAATCTTGATGAAGCGATCTCTCATAAAAGTATACAAATCCTCAGATATTACAGGAAGTATATATATATATATATATATATATATATATATATATATATATATATATATATATATATGCTGCTTTTCACTACACCATTTAAAGTAAAAATCTAGGGAGGAAAAAAAACCCTAAACATTTCCTGATATGTAATTGGCTAAACCACAGAATGTGCACTTAAAAAAAAAAAAAGAAAGAAAAGAAAAAAAAAAACTTTAAATCTGGATAATAAGAAAAATATTTTACTAAAAAGGATTCATGATCTCATAAGTAAAAACAAGGCTTAAAATTGTACATTTACTATTTCGTATGCACAGAAATGATTAGTTTAAAATTGAGAAGTAGAAGTTTTATATCCTTAGGACATAGATCGTGGTGTTTGGAGAAATGCAGACAGTATCTAAGTCAAACTTAACAGGTACTCATTCCTTCCCTACTCCACACACCTTTCTCTCATAATGAGAATAAAGATGCCTCAGTGTCTTGCAAGTACTTCCACACTGATGCCAACTGCGGTTTTCATGGGGAGCACACAGATCTGAACTTACTCCTCGTTATTTAACTAAAACTGTCTTAGCCTGAGCATCCTACCATGATTCAAGAGGCTGAGGCAGGATGATCACAAACTGAATGCCAACCTGAACTATTCAGTGAGGCCATGCCTAGATAGATAGATAGATAGATAGATAGATAGATAGATATAGAAAAACAGGCTGGTAGTGTAGCTCAGTGGTAGAGTCCTTTTCTAGCATGTATAAAACCCTGAAAAATAAAAATAAAAAACCTACGCTGACCATATTATTTTCTCCCCAGGTGCCTTTTCCTAGGGCTCTAGCAAGCCCTTGTGTTGTTAACACTTGTCAGCCATTATCTTGTAACTAAATGTACTGCAGAAAACTATGGGTTCCTCCCCTCAAAATGTGGGCTGCTCACCGCCATCCGATGTTGCTTCCGAAGCAGCTTCACTCGGATCTGGTCCATATTGGTGGCAACATCCCTCTCGGGCTGATCTAAATCCTCGGCATATCTCTGCACCAGAGCTTCAGGGATTCCACAACGGCCATGCTGCCAGGGGAGAAAGAAGTGTGGCATGAAATGGTGGTAGAGACATTTCCTCCCACCTAAAAGCCAACAAACATTAAGGCTTAGCTATCGGTAAGTAACACCAAGAGTTAGTTCAGAAGGAGCATCCCAATTTATTATTGGGACGGATACTTGAAAAGGAGCATGGTCATATCTTCATCCTCCAGACACCAACAAGCTCTAAATATTTCAAAGCGTAATTAAGGCAACACAATCCTGTATTTTTCAGGTCAATGCCTTAAACTCATTTTTACAAAATCCAATTCCCTGGTGCGGTTGAACACAGTCCTCTAATCTGTAGAAAGCCAAACCATTACTCTACGGATACTATTTGCCCTTCATCTGAGAATGACACCCCTGTATCACCAGGTCACATTTACTGTACAACTCTCCCTATTTTCTCTTCAAAGGTACAGTCATGAAGTATCAAAGAGGGGAGAAAGAAAACAAGGGCGAGAGAGGGCATTCTTAGGAGGTACTCATGATCATAAAGCTTTAAGAACAATGACTCTTAGGAAGGCATTATAATAGGAGATGCCTTTCCCAAAGAGCAGCACAGCCACTTCTATTATCACCTATTTGTCTTCAAAGTCACTTTGGTGTCGCTACCCTTTTTCTTTTCTCTTTTCAAATGCGAACTGTATTTTGTTAGAGATGTGAATGGTTTTGGTGCATTGGGGGTTTTCATATCATGCCTCCAACCCTGTTATCTACAGGTAATCCTATAATTGTTGTGGTATATCCCAACAGGACACTGAACTGTAAGTGCTCCATGGTTTTCTGGTATGCTCCCATTAGCTGTATTTGCTTACAGCAATGTAGGAGTAGATAACACTGGTTATTTGAAACCCCAGTTAAAACTACACAGAAAGGAACACATAGGACTGCTGTGGATTATGCACCCTAGGTTCAGACCTCTCTTGCCCACTACACCAGTTTTGATACTAATTAGGCACCAGTTTTGATACTAATTGTGATCCCTGCAAAATAGCACAGCTGCCAAAAACTAAAACCAAGCAAGGGGAAAAGAAAACCACAAAGCTGCATTTGTATTGAATCCAGGGGTAGATGGTATACCTCCAGCTCACAGAGGCCATAAGTAGAATGAGCCACGCTGTCTGCACAGCACCTGTGGCCATGGCCCTCCCCTTACCTGGCTATCATCTGAGAAAAACAGCAGTTTTTCTGAGACCCAGGCCTTGGATACCTTATCAGAGTAGGGCTCCTCAGTGAGATCAATGCCCTCGGCTTGCAGCTTGTTCTCGGTGAGCATCTCCAGGTCCACGCCCCGGACGCAGGAAACCTTCCTGCTCAGCACTGGGCCCAGCTTCACACCGTGTTCTTGCAGGCTGGTACTCTCCGGCAGCTCCGCCAGCCAGGGTGGAGGTCTCGCACAGGTTGGGCTGCCCGGTTCAGTCCCTGAGGGAGGCCTGGGCTCCCGGGGAGAGGGACAGTCACAGGGGCTGGCGGGGCTGGCAGGGCTGGCCTTCTTCAACGGCAGGGTGGGTGCCTCCAGGCTGGAGACCAGGTGCAGGCCATTGGCCAGGCGCTCTCGACTCTTCTTGGCAGGTACAGGAGGGGGCTGCGACGGATGTCTGGGCTGCGTCCTGGTCTCAGGAACGCTCTGCTCCACATCTACCCCTTCTTTGGTGCCCAGGGGGTGGTGGTCATGCCCTTTTCTGTGACCCTCAAAAGACGTCCTTGTTAAGCCGGGTTTAACTGGAGGCTGAGCCTCGAAATTTCTGGGTACACACTGAGGAGGAGATATGCCAAGGTTAGAGGCCACTGCAGAGCCATCCAGTTTCTTAGCCATCATTTTCGGGGGGTCGGAAAATCTCTTGCTTTGGGTCAGAAGCATCATGTCTTCTGCAGTTGGATCTCGGCCTGGGGGCAGAGCCTCGGAGGTGCAGGCAGACATCTTCTGTGGCACTTCTGGTACATTCTGAGGACAGGCTTCCTGCCCCTCGGTAGGCACACCCTTTCCAGCATCAGCCTCTCCCTGAAGGTCATCCAGGGAATGGGATCGAGGCCAACTTTCAACTGGCTGAGGACCCTCCAGAGTTTCACAGCTGCGACAGATGGAGACCGGGAGGCTCCTTCGGTTTTTATTCAAACCAGTCATACAGGGCACATCACAGCGCTTGGCAGTGTCAGGGGCTAGACCGCGTCCCAGCCTGCCTTCCTCTGCCTGCTTGCGCACCTCCACTGATTTTGTTAAAGGCAATGTCGGGTAATTGCCTGGCTGGCTCCTGTTGAAAGACTTTAAGTTGGACTCCGTGGACGACTTGGTAGACAGAACGCTGGGTTTCTGAGTTTTGCCTATGAGAGAAAGAGAAATTTTTTACAACCAAGTTTTCAAATCAGTGAAATTGATGTATAAATATGGGTCATGGGGACATAATTCTTGCATCAACAAAACCTTCACTTAGGACACTGAAAAACGTAGGGTGATTAGGGATCCCGTTTTTATTTTTATTAAGAATTCTAGTCCCACTAAAGTACTTATATAGGTGGAAACTAGTTGGTTATGTAGAAAAGAAATGCTGTGACAAACAGAAGCAGCCTAGGGTTAATGCTGAGTCTACAGAAGCTGATTGGCTATGCACACCCTACTCAGAAACCAAAGCGTAAGATGTCAGGTGGCTTGACTTAATCTATGAACGGTACCCAGGAAGGGGTGATCCAAACAGAACAAACACTCAAATCATTCCTTCCTTGAGCTGCTCTATTTGAATACATTTACCCAGAAACAACAAGGCAACTTTGACACAGACCAGTAAGCAAGCTGGAGGGAGTGTTTTGCCAGAGACCATCTACAAAATACTTACTGGGATGCTTCTAGTGAGACAACTGTCCTGATTAAAATGAATCGCCAACTTGCTAGTTGAACATTGGCCAGACATAACCCACTAATTTGATAGCTCTTGGTTTATATTTACTGTGGCAGCTACAGTGTGACAAGCTTTACTGGGCACATGTTGTGACTATGTAGCCATGTGTGTAGGCACAAGCAAGCTCATGCTCACTGACTGTGTAGGCATGTGTGTAGATACAGGTAAGCTCATGCAAACTGACTATGTAGACATGTGTGTAGCACAGGCAAGCTTATGTTCACTGACTAAGCATGTATGTAGGTATGGGCAAGCTCATGCACACTGACTATGTAGGCATGTGTGTAGATACTGGTAAGCTCATGCACACTGACTATGTAGACATGTGTGTAGATATAGGCAAGCTCATGCAAACTGACTATGTAGGCATGTGTGTAGACATAGGCAAGCTCAGGTTCATGCATGCACACACATATCAATGGTGTTTTGTCTCCTCTTTTGATAATGACACATGTGTTGTGTCCCTAGTAGCTGGTCTGATAAACCTGAGAATATTTCAGGTAACATAACATCTGAGCCAAGTGACTATGTTATTCTAGAGAAGGATGAAAACACCACCAATCTTTTTCTGGCTTGGAGGATACAAAGAAATGGCTGTGTCTAATCACTGAAAAGCTAGTAAGTTATTAATAAAACTAAAAGAGGGTGCCCCCCCAACCTATTGCTAAACATCCTGAATTCAGTATTTTAATTTAGAACTCTGACTGTCACCTTTAAGCAATATCACCCTTTCAATGTAATACGCAAAGAGCAGCAGGGAGAAATCAGGCTGTGGACCAATCTGATGAGGGCATAAGAAAATGGGTTGGATGGAGCCCACTCAATAAGGGAAATAGCTGCTTTAGGGCAAACAGAAGGCATTCTTTGATAAAATATCTCTCTGTGAGGCAGTCTAGATGAAGGAAATGGAACAGAAAGAAAGGCCTGGGGCTCCCACATTACAAGTGGGTTAACCTTCATCGTCAGGGAGAAAAAGAGTTCCTGTCCATGATTTCCTAGCTCTCTAATCTTACTCAACCCTCAAACTGATAATATGAAGTGTTTCATGCCAAGAATAACTACAGCCCCTAAGGCTGGTGGATGAGAACGGCTCTCTCCTCAATTGGACTTTTTATTAATGAGGCCATCCCAAATCAGCGTATGAAATACTTCACATCCTGCAAAGCAGAGGCCTGGGCCAGTGACGTGTGTCCTCTGTGAAGAGGTTCATATGGCAAACCCTGTCCCACCTCACTTCTATACCATTAAACAGCAACACACTAGCCCCTTCTTAATAGGTTGCTATTCTGTGGATACCCAGAGATAGATACTGGCTTACTGTGACTACTGAACTTATTGGCTACCGTCCCATTTCGTACTAACAAGAGAATCGCCACAGCTAGATGGAAAAGGGAAATGCTTCAGAGAGCAACAGAAGATGAAAGCTTAAAAGTTAGTTGAAATAGAAAAATTCTCAAAATTCCTTGAGCACAAGTTTTGCAAATATGTTTTCCTCATTACCTCCCAATATAAACCATATATGTATCAATGCCAGGCTTACTCTCTGCTTCATATAGAAAGAGCCCTGAGTTACCCTGAAATCAAAGCATGGCTCTCCAGTTTATTTAATCCAGTTCCTCAGCAGGTATAACTATATTCTTCTGGCCATTAACACCTTTGGCAGTGCTATCTTTCTTTTTCCTGATTTACCAATCCAGCACTGCTGGGGTTAATTTACCAGACCACTTCAGCTATAGAAACTTTACTAACAGAAAAGAAAAAAAGCCTTCCAAACCTACACAAGGGTTTGCTGTTTGCTAAAAATGATGGAGTGCTGGGCTCTGGATGGGTTCGTATTGTATTTTGACCAAGGCTATTATCAGAGGACCCACTTACTCCCCAAATTGATAGAACATTCTGGGTGACAGAGTTTATGGGTAAATTTCTAGGTTCCCTTGATGCTTATTAGAATCGACATCAGTGTGAGATGGGCGAGATGCCCAGGGTGCCCATTCGGAAGCAGGGTTACTCTAAGAGTACAGTTGGTAAGTGGAAGTAAGCTCCTCATGAGATTAAAATGCAGGCATTTATTTGCCTTATCTTAGAACTGGTTTAGGTGCCCCCCAAATAACTCTCTCATACTATTTGTTTTTAAGTATGACTTACATTAAGAAACCCATTTTATGTCTACCACCCAACAGGCACATGTGAAGCAAAGATTATATAGTAAAGCCACTAATAATTCTAACCTTACCCTATGGAAAGTGATTTCTACTGTGTCCTGGAAAACTGTTATCCATGGGTCACTAAATTGATTTCACGACCCACTAACAAGTTGCAACCTACAAGATGGCTTGCTTCAGTAAATGTTAAGAAACAGTCTAACCTGTTACTATCAGGAGAGAATCTCAATAGCTGCTATATGCTATGGAACCTAGGTATTTGGTTACTATAGTCTTCAAATCTCCAACAAAGATTTAGGTCATGACGGCAGCATGAACCCTTTACTACTGTTTCTCATCTTATAATAATGGGAATCTGGCAGACACAACAGGAAGCCATAGTCATCTACTGTGCCATTTACCCTTTCTGCTCTATTCTGCTTAACACCTTGGTTCTGTATGGAGGAGGCTTTAAGAGTTTTATATTGACTGCTTCCCAGCTGTTAAGAGAAAGAAGCCACAAATAAGACATGTGGCTGTGATTGCCTCCAGAATCAGGCTTTGCGGATACAACATATAAGACACAGTTGTCGGGGTACCCTTGATGGATGGACTACCTGGTAAATTGTTTTCCTTGTGGGCCTCATCATTCCTAGCACTGAGGTGTTGGTGGATACTATATATAGAAAAGGGCATAGGAGACACACAATTTAGGTTTTATGGATGCAGGTATTTGAGAGAGAATTTATAAACCTCACGTAGCAGCCAGGAGGAATAAGCACAGAGGTTAACTGAAGAGCAATGACAGAAATGGAAAGATGACCAGTGGCTTCACTGTCATACAAGAATTGAGCCTTTGGACAGAATATTGTTACACATTTGAAATTGGCAACTGTTGAAGCATGTTCCGGTGTTTGGAGCAAACATTACCATTTTCCAAGTTCTCACTGCTTTCGTAGCATCCAGAGTCCCGAGGGGAACATCCACTCAGGCCTTGGTTGTCCACCAGCAGCTTCTCCTGGGACCCAGACTGGTCACTGTTACCTGGAGACGAATAGATGGCATGGTGTCACCAGGAGCCCCAAAGTCAGCCAGATTTTTATCCTTTGCCAACGACACATAGGTTTACACCTAACTAAAAGTGAGCAAATAAAAGCAGAACGCTTCTCTTTCAAGTAATGTATCCACCGTGTGAAATTAAAGTTATCAAGAGAGCCCAGGGTTGAAATATGTGGATGTCTCCCAAGCTATCCAGAGGCAGACTGAAGCCATGGGGGAGAGGAGAAATGCAGAGCGTGGTATTGGCATCACTGCTGAGTGATGGCCCTATGAGTGAGTAGTATGAGAGAATAAGGCATTTACTACGTGGATAGGGTCAAGTGCTTTTCAGGCACCTGGAAGACTTGAACTTCAAGTCATTGATGTTATGTGCTCTTCAGCTTTGGGAGCTTATATAAAAGTGTCAGACGAAATATTGCTTTATTAGCACTGAGGAATATTGTTAGCCTGTGGTAACAATAGGCTGCCTATTGTATTGTCTTAGCCAAAGGAAGGCTGGTAAGAGAGAAACAGATTCCTACATGAGGAGGAACAAATCTTTTGTCTTCTGGAGTGTTAAAGGTTTCTGTTCTCTTGACCCTTCTCACTCAGCCTTGGGTAAGCATTTCTAGTCCCTGCATCCAAAGTGACAAAATGTTGAGGAGCCCCTCTGACTGGTAAATGGAACCACCGTGGCTCCACCTTGAGCAACCCATCCCCCCCCCCCCAAAAAAAGCAAAAAGCATCACATTATCATCAATGGGAGCTCAGTAGGGGTAGGAGGAACATTAGGAGACACGTTAACTATGCTGTTTTAGGGAGTCTCCCTAAAGTAAATTACATGGAAAAACGTGTGAACATTTGATTCCCAGGCAGCGTCACTCTTGTGTTTTCTGTAGAGAGAGACTGGGGAGCTCAGGCCACTGAGGGTTCACAAAGATAACTATGTGGAGGAAGTACTTGGTCACACAACATAGAAACCAAAAGAACACTTTCTACACAAATTACTAGTCTGAAAGACAAATGGCTTTAATTTATTTTCTTTCCCTTTGCTCCTCACCTGCCCACACCAACCACACACACACAGAGAAAAAGAAATCAATAAACCAGAAATATGGTGCATTTTCCCAGGTCATCAGAATAAATGTGTGGGGAGGCTGAGGGCTACCATGCTAGACATGCGCTGTTGGGTTCCCATCATTCCCTTTATACCTCCTGCTTGTATTTCTCAAAGGGAAAGCCTTCTATAACAAGTAAGATGCCATGGAGGATGACAGAACACATTACTTAGTTATAGCCAAAGAGTGCTAATTGTCAAACGATTAGTGAAAAATTAACAAACTAGAAACACACAAGCAAACACTGCCCCTTCCGCCCCCAAACAACCTCAAACTGGAACATTCTACAGTGATGTTCTCATTCTGTGGAAGAGCCTGTGGGTTTGGATGGGCCTTTGTTCTTGTCTAGCATGCTATTTAGAAAAATGATACTTGTAAATGTGGGCTTTGAGCTGTCCTTGACTTCCCAGGAAGAGGGACCACTCATCTGTCCCTGGTGCCAACAGTTCAGTGTACCAGAGTGGTGGAGAGGACTGCAGAGTGCCGACTAGAGCACAGGAAAGAGAAAACACGACCCCAGCCTTATCAGGCACTACCAAATCCTGTTCTTATGGGAAAGGAAGGAACCTCTCCCATGCCCGAGAACCATGGTGGGACATATATGACAAGGGGCTAGAGCACCATCTTCACGAGAAGGCAGAAGGGAGGGAGGTGACTGTTCCGTGTCTAGACTTTTCTCCCACACTTACTAGCATCATTGCCAACAGAGGAAAGTCTCAAGACCAACGAGGAAGAAGCCAGTTGTCAGTCAAACAAGATCAAAAGGGCTGGAATGCCACTTGGTCACAACCTGAAGGGACTCGAAATTCTGGGTCTAAAGTTCTTCCCTGCTCCTGCCACTCACACATGTGAGCATGCACAGGGACAGAACCTTAGAAGACACTGAGATCCTCAAACATCAAAAGCCATGGCACATAAGGGCACACACCATTGTCTGGAGAGCAGTTTTCTTGGGAATAAGGGGAGGAAATGGGATTCTTGGAGAAGTTCCCCTCCAAAGGTTTACAGTATTTCCTACATGGCAGACTGTTCGCTGCCACTGAATTCAGGAAGTGCTTGTCACACATTCGTTTTATTTTTCTCTGTGCTTTCTACATACTTCAAATAATCTTTAATTAAGAGGCTTATAAAAGTGAACACCTCCCTTGTTTCAGTCAGTCTCTCTCCACAGCCCAGGCTAGCCTGGGTCTTTCAGTAATCCTGCCGTACTTGCATCAACAATGGCTTCCCTAGGAAACAATAAGTTGAGATAGCAGCTGTGAGCCCCCAAGCCCAGCTTCAAAGGATGTTTCCATGGAGCTGCTCACCTGACAGTGCTTCTGATGGCAATTCTATGGTATACATATTTTACTGCAATTTTTATTTTATTTTATTTATTTATTTTGATTTTTCGAGACAGGGTTTCTCTGTGTAGCTTTGAAGCCTATGCTGGCGCTCGCTCTAGAGACCAGGCTAGCCTTGAACTCACAGAGATCCGCCTACCTCTGCCTCCCGAGTGCTGGGATTAAAGGCGTGCGCCACCAATTTTTTAAAAGGTAAACAACTTTAAGTTTTTTTTTTTTTTTCCCCTACATTTAGAGGACGTAAAAGAGTGTAAGGAAGAGTGAGCTGGCAATGTTCTCCCAATGGAAGGCTGGCTGGAGGTCTTCTTTCCTCATCTATTGGGAGACACAGGCTGGGTCTGGCATCCAAGTGATACTGGAGACATACTTATTAGTTTCAGTGGAAGTGTGAGTTGGAACACTTTGAGATGTTCCCACGTATCTTCGGGAACCTTACTAGCCCTCTACGTCTCGACTGCATACAAACTGAGTTTGGCAGAACACTAACTGCTGTGTTTCTCCTAGTGACTGAAGTACTTGGAAGGAGTTTCTCTTAATTACAATGAATTTAACTGCGTTGCATGGAAAGTCTGACATCACTAGGGCCACCTCTGGATGGGACCTCTCAACACTAATTAGAACCATGGAGCCCCAAAGCCTTTGCTTCAAGATCAATAAAAAGAAATACTATTTTATGCATCAGAGAAACTGCAAACAATGGAAATGCATAGACCCAAAATGGGATTTATGAAGAAATAAGGAGCTGTCTGAGCCTTCCAAGTTAGCATCATGGTGGATAAAGATATCCTATAAAACTATTGTGGTAAAAATCTTAGGATATGAGCCTAGGACCATAGGTCTGAGCCAATGTCTTATGTCAAACTAGGTTCAGATCCCTGCTGATATGCAGGGCTTAGCTTTGCTCTTCAGACATTTAATGAAACAGGAAATGTAATGGACGATGTATATAAGCCAGCTGTCCTCCACGGTTTCGGAAGAGTAAATGACGTATAATACAGAGCAGATGTGGGCCAGAGGAACAGATGGCTCAACTTTAATTCATATTGATAGAGCAGGTCAGCCATACCTGTCACTGTGCAGGCTGTTTACACACAACCTGGCCTGAGACCCCAGGCTATCTCTAGAGGGTCAAATGCTACAGAAACCGGGTCATAAAACACCAGGGAAGGTCACAGGACACCCCCCCCCAGGTCTAGACCTGAAGGCTGCCTATTTACCTTGTGCATAGTTACTGTTTCTGAGGCTGTGATAAATGTTCTGATTAAAACAGCTTAGTATTTACCAGGGTTTTAGAAAAAAGTCCATCCTGGTGGGGAAACAGTGTTGCAGGTGCTTGAGCCTCTAGTCCCAGGGCACTGACAGTCAGAAGGCACGGAGATGGATGTTAACATGGGGTTCACATTCTCCTCTATTTAGTCTAGGACCTCAGCCCACACCATGGTGACACCCACAGTCACCGTGGGTCCTTCCACCTCAATGACCCTCATCTACCCAATCCTTCACTGGCATGCTCTAAAGCTAATGTATTTTAGATAATCCCCTCAGTGATGTGTCCAAAGGCTTGTCTCCTCGGTGATCTGAATGATGTCAAGCTGACAATATTAACCACCACAAACAAGGTTCAGACTTCTATCAACAGCATCCCTTTACGTAAAGCTCTTGCTCTGCACTGTACAGACTGCATATTGCTCACCCAGGAAAAGAATGGGATTATATAGGCATCTTGCCTTGCCAGTGAACATGTAGTGGTGGCCACACCCTTTGGGCGTGCTTTTTGGTGCAGACATAACCCATTGTAAGGCAGAGGAGGGGCTGGCTCGAGCTCTCTTGGGTTGTAGAGAGCATCAGAAGGGCAGAGACTTCATCTTCTGGAACAGGAAGACCGAGACGGTTATTTACTCTCATTTGTGTGAGCTCTTCCCTACTAAATACCTATTTATCATGTATCTTGGGTCTGGTGGACTCATTTAAACCCCACATTCATGGGATTCAAAATTTGAAGTATAGTTTCTACCACGTGTATTGCTCTCCTGGCATCTGAAAAGCAAGAAAATCCTAAGCTGGAGACCATTTATAATGTGTAATTCTCCCCCATCATTAACCATGGTTTTGGTGTGTCTTTCAGTGATAGAAATGCGTTAGCTACTGGTATCATGTAAGCAGAGCATGGAAAGAAAATACACTTGAGTTCAAGAACTGGAAAGGATACTCCCTCCATGATGAATAAGTTTAAGAATTTTTTTGTTTTTAATGTGAGACTGAAGAATAAAGAACATAAGCCTAGCTTAGCAGAGCAACAGCAATGGATGTCCTGACATCTGTTCACAGGGTATAAAAATAAGCTCTCATATTTAGCTTGGGAATTCCTGCCCCACATACTCACTTCAGAGAAGACAGTTTCTGGAAACTGATAGATTGACTTATTCACTAATAAGCCTATTTTAGTAAGGAAACAAAACCTCATGCTTCAGAAAATGACTAATGCTTAGATAGGCAAAAAGACTCCCAGGTTGCCAGCATTTTGTTGTTTTGTTTTTTTTTTCACCCAGGGATAGTTATTGACCTGCTGAAGGCTGCACATTCCAACAAGAATGAGGTAGAGCCTACTGGTCCCTTCAGAAAGACCCTGGGACAGCATTCTTTTGAACCAACTGACAGGCATGTCTGTTATGTAAACTGACTGGTCATAATATGAAATTAGCCTTGGCTTTGGAAAGAAGAAGACCAATTGTTCTTAGACTCCAGGGGCCCTAAGCACATGATCACAGCTTGTTTGAAGCCTGTTGGTGACAATAATAATCATAATGATGACAGAAATGTTCATCCAGCGGGTGTGTGTGTGTGTCTGTGTGTGTCTGTGTGTGTCCGTGTGTAGGAACTTACTGTCATATTCCTGTAAGAGCTCCACCGCTGTCAAGAGAACTGCTCTGTGTTCTGGGTCCCTGATGTTTAATTCATCTAAGTCTTCTTCCTCCAGGAGCTTGAAGGTGTCCAGGTCTTCGTAGCCATTGAACAAGAAAGTGGGCATGTGTTCCTGTGAGGCAGAGCACTAAGTGAGTCCATGGTCCAGCCATGTGATGCATGTCCTAAAAATGACCTGAGATCCCTCAGACCTTTTCTCATGATAATTTTATGCTAATCAAGAGGTGAGTATCATTTGTAATATATTCTGTGGCTCACAGTCTTCTGGCTTAGTAGGCAGATAGGGGTATGTGGGTTCACTCACTGATGATTTAAGAAGATATCTGTGCACACTGTGGTCGATATCCCACTTGCTGTCATTGTCACTGTGCCCTAGATAGGAATTAACTCCTTTATCATCACATTGCCCATGGTGAGAAAATTCCTTTTACATTTGGAGGGCTTATTAAAACCCAACTTAGCAAAAACCTATGAATTTCTCAGGAGCAAGATATTTTATAAGTCGAAAACCATAATCTACCACTGTAGGCATACTGTTCTAGAAGATGCTGGGAGTTATAGCAAGGGAGAGGTAAGAAGGTGGATGCCTCATGGTCCCATGGAGGTGGCTGTGAGCAGAATACTGATACAGAGCTTATGCTGTGCTATCAGCCTTAGTAGAGGTCAAGGGCAACATTAGACTGCTGGTAACTACTCTTGTAGAATACTCAAGAGAATTAATGAGTCACCCTTGTAAAATGACATAGACTACCTGCCCAGTTTAAGAAGAAGAAAAGAACAAGGACATGTATATGACAAGAGTAACAAGTGACTGACTTTCAGGTTGATCCGATCCAGGAGATCCTCCACAGACTTCGGCTGGGGTGGCCTTCCCTTCCTCTTCCTCCTGGCAGGACGCTTGGGCTTCTCCTCTTCCTCATTTAGTACATCCACATAGATGAACTTGAATGTGCCGACTTTGTTGTTCAACAGACCCATCCAGGTACCCATGGGCGGCTTGCTTATTATATCAATGATATCTCCTTTCTGTGACCCAGGGAGCAAAGGTCTTTCCATTAGGCACACTTCTAAGCACGAGTAATGACATAACTCAGCTAGAAATGCTACAGAACAGAATTAGAATCCCTCAAGTCAGCTTCCTGCTTCAATGCTGTGTTTATGAGTGTGGGCCACACAGACATGTTGGTGTGTCTATGGGTATGACCATGCAGACATGTTGGTGTGTCTATGTGTATGGCCATGCAGATATGTTGGTGTGTCTATATGTGTATGGGCCATGCAGATATGTGTGTTTGTGTGTATGGATCATGAAGATATGTTGGTCTGTCTATGTGTGTGGGCCATGCAGATATGTTGGTGTAGGTATATGCACGTGTGTATGATGCCTAGAGGTAAATGTCCAGTCGTTTTCTCCATTGCACCCCATCTTATTTTTGAGACAGGAACCCTCGCTGAATCTAGGTTTCATCAATTGGCTTGAATGACTGGCCAGTGAGCTCCAGAATTAGTCCACCTGTCTCTACACCCACAGCACTGGTTTTACAGGGGTGCACCACCATACCCAGCTATTACATGGATGCTGGGGATATGACGTTAGGTCCCTATGCTTTGGGCAGCAAGCATGTTACTGACTAAGTGTCCAAGACAGAACATGATTGGGAGCTTGGCAGAGGGCAGACAGAGGACTTCTAACTGTGTTCGATGCTGTGCTGACCCAAGGACACAACCTTCCCTGCTTCCTGTTCTGCAGGGTCAGGTGGGCCTTGGCTGTCACCCATGTTCTCGGTCAGGTTGCCTACCTTGGCTCTTGGGATAGCATCCTACTCCTGGTAGGATGCTCTTGCCACCAGTCACAAGAGGGTGTTCCCTAATCTGTAGCCACATCGTATACTATGTTGAACTGCATCTTTAGGTCCCCTATAAACTCTCTGTACACATACAGAACAGCTATTCCCTTCAGATAAAGGAAGCATAGAAAGAGGGGCATAAAAGTTCTAGAAGGAATCAGGGGTCAAAGGGTAGCACCAGGGAGGAAGTGGTGGCAACAGAAAGCTTATGCACATCTTCCTCACCCTTGACCACTGTCTGATTCTACTTTATTCTCACTGTGAAGGAAACCAGCCAAAACACGGTCTAGTCTACATGGTAAGAATTCCAGCATCCAATGTCAGGGAAGAGAGAAACCCAAGAGACAAGAGAGCCTGGGTTAGCTGCCCAAGACCAGGGACAAGCCTACCTTGAGCTTCAGAGAGTCTGTATCATAAGGACTGGGGGTGAAGTCAGTGTGCACACGGGCACGCCCACAGAAGGGACCCCGGTAGGGTGGCTCTTCGTCATCACCATCTTCTGACTTGACGCTTTCCCTGTTGCTGGTGGAGGAATCGGTGGTACTGACAGTCTGACCACCTGCGCAGGAAGAACAGAGAGAACAGGGATAAGCACAGTCTTCCTGAGTAGGAAAGATAAAAGGTACCGATAGTGCTGTGTATTAGAAGAGGTCCAGGAAGGGAAGCTATGAGTCACAGCATTGCAACACGACTACCACTGGGCCCATGAATGAATCTTCGACTGTTATCCTAATCAAGTTCTTAAGTTGACAGGGGACTCCCACAACCTTTTCCTCATGACAGGAATCCTTGGGACACTGGCTCGCCAGAGGACAATGCTGCAATGGCAGGCCCTAGCCTTTGCCCATAGCAGTTTAGTGTCTCCTTTGTATACTATACCATTTCTCCCATGTATTACAGAGGAGAAAACAACCTAAGAGAGAACTTAAAGTTCTGGATTTATATGCCACCTCTTCCTCCTCACTCTTCAACCAACACTAACCATCATAGGTCCTGGGGAAGCTTAATGATATCTGTTGCCAGGGACATTTAGAATCCCTTCCCTTGCTCAGATCCCTCCATTTTGTTGGTCAGATGTACTTTCTCCATTGGCTTATTGTCTAAAAGATCCTTCCTCAGAGATGCATTTCCTATGTTCACCAATCAAAACTTAAACATTCCTCTTTTGCTTTATAGCTGGACAAATATATAATGCAGCCTAAGGGTAGGTGCTTGGCCTTGCTCATCTCTAACTTGCCTTAACTTGAGGCCCAAATGAATGCTGGCTGTAACTCCAGAATGAAATCATGAAACACTTCGAATGGCACTTACTCATCGAGCTCTGGCCACTCAGAGAACTTCGCAGGCTTTCTACGGAGCCCCCGGCTTTGAGCTTGGGCTTGTCCACATGTTCCGAGTCAGGTTTTACCAAGGCTGGGGAGCCGGGCATTCCATCAAGCCCAGAGTCCTGAAATAGTTTCAATAGAACTGAGTTTCCCAGGTAGTCAGGTGATATTTTATAATTCTAGGCAATTCGATCCTCAACTTTATGCCTATGCTTGGTCCTATGTACAGTATTCTCCATTAACGCCTATATCCTTGCTTATATTTAAATCTATAACCCACAGTACTGCTTATTTAGTACTCCAAAGTTGTCTTTCAAGTTCAAACAGATATTCTTAAAATTCCTGGGGAAAACCCCATCTACCATATATTAAAAACAGTGGCTTAGGGACTCAGTATAGTCAATGGCCCAGGAACAAGCCTGACCTCAAATGCAGATCAAGTTCAGTCTACTCTAATACAATATTTAGAAGTAGAATAAGAGGGCAGTAAATTAACTTTAGGTGGAAAAAATGTACACTTAAGAAAAGGTATATTTCTTAGAAACAACTGATCAGATTGTTTCTATTTATATGACATTGCTGAAAGTAGTGACTGGATGAATAAGATGCTGGTGTTTAGTCACCAGGGGGCAGCAGCCGAGCAAAAATGCCTGCTGTCCCAGCTGGTTTTATTGGCTGGCTGAAGCGGCATTCCGTATGCATTTCAAGCAGGTATTTTAACAGGCTGCAAAATGAGTACCATAAAGATGTCAGAGCAGGAGGTTTTGAAATCAAAGGTCAAAACTATCTCAAAGTTCAGGCCTCCAGGTGTTCTTCCTTCCACACATGCAATTAAGACAAAAACTGGACGTGTTTCTAATGATGAAAGGTTTTTCTACAGAATCAGGGGTGAGACATCAGTTTTGTGAAATCCTACTGATGACATAAAGTGCCAGTAAGTGAGACGGCCTTCTACTCTCAGCCCAAATAGAAACCTGCATGACTATTGCATTCTAGTAGCCAGAAGGTATTTTGTAAGATTTCCCCTTCTGATCTACTACATACTTCTAGAACAATATATCCTACATCTGTAATTTTAAAAAGCGGCATGTGTTCGAGAGAAAGATGCCATGTGACAGAGCTTGGGTGGTGGGGATTTTATTGGGGGAAAGTGAATGGGAAAAGAGTGAGGGGAGAGGAGTGACTGGCCTCTGGGGACAGAAGAGAGAGGCAGAGAAAGAAAGACAGGCAGAGAAGAGAGAGAGAGAGAGAGAGAGAGAGAGAGAGAGAGAGAGAATAGGAGATGGGCAGGGCCCTTTTAAAAGGGAACACAGCCGGGCGTTGGTGGCGCACGCCTTTAATCCCAGCACTCTGGAGGCAGAGGCAGGTGGATCTCTGTGAGTTCGAGACCAGCCTGGTCTACAAGAGCTAGTTCCAGGACAGCCTCCAAAGCCACAGAGAAACCCTGTCTGGAAAAAAAAAAAAGAAAGAAAAGAAAAAATAAATAAAAGGGAACACAGTGAATGTACACAGGTGGTGTTCTTAGTGGCAGTAGCTGAGGGTGTATCCTGTCAGAACCCCAAGGACCGGCCAGTACAATACCTAAATACTAACATCTGAAAAGTCAGCTGGCCAAGAACACTTAAAGAAAAAAATTTACTTATTATTTCTGGTCATGACTGTTTGCATTATATACATATATGTATGTATCCCACATGTGTGTCTGGTGCCTGCAGAGTCCAGAACAGGGCACCGGATTCCCTGGAACTGGAGTTACAGGCTGTTGTGAGCCACCATGTAAGTGCTGGGAACCATACCCAAGTCCTTTGTAAGAGCAGCAATGGCTCTTAACCCATGAGCCATCTCTCTAACTCCATAGGGCACTTTTTTTGGGGGGTGGGGGGTTCAAGGCATGGTTTCCTCTGTGGCTTTGGAGGCTATCCTGGAACTAGCTCTTGTAGATCAGGCTAGTCTTGAACTCACAGAGATCCATCTGCCTCTGCCTCCCGAATGCTGGGATCAAAGTCCTGTGCCACCAACGCCCAGCCCAAAGGGCACTTTTTAAGGAGGCATCTAGTGATAGATAATTAATAGCAAGGATATTTTAGAAAAGAATCCCCCAGTCCCCTCATGCTTAAATTATTCACTGGGCTTACTCTATTGTGCTTTCTGCACTAAGGATCTTCTTTACATGGCTGTCTCCTTTGCTCTGAAATGGAAGCCCTGCTCTGAGGATTTCATCTTGATTGTCAACTTGGTTTAGAATCACCATGGAAATGAAGCCCCAGGCATACCTGTGATGGGTTTTCTAGATTAGGTTAGTTCAGGTGGGAAGACTCACCCTAACTGTGGGTGTCGGTCCATGGGCTAGGGTCCTGGACTGCACAGAAAAGAAAGAGGGACCTGAGTAGCAGTATTCATCTCTCTCTCTGTTTCCTGCTGGTGGGTACAATGTGACCAGCTGACTCAAGCCATTACCTGTCTGCCATGATGTACTGTATCTTGAAATTGTGAGCTGAAATAAACTCTCCCTTCCTTAAGTTGCTTTGGTCTTGGTTTTTGATGCAGCAACCAGAAAAATCACTGATGCACAGGGCCTATGTTTTCTAGTCCCAGCATATAGAACAGTCCTAACTGCTTAACAACTGTTTCTGTAGCAAATGCCTGCTTTTTCTATTCAAATGCAGCTCAAATGAGCAATTCCGAGGAATACACACACACACACACACACACACACACACACACACACACCCTCATAGCACCATCCAATAGCCCAAGTGGACCATCTTCAGTTAGAACCTGGGTCAAAGCAAGATGGCCACATACCTGCTCAGAGACAGGGCTGCTGTATTTTTTAGACATCCTCTTCCTCATTGTCTCTTTCACCGATTTCACCTTTTTCCCGAGAGAGATGCGGGAGGCAGTAGGTGATTTGATTACCTCTTTGTACACAAAATCTCCCTCTTTACCCTGCAAAACAGAGTGCAAATACCATTAGTCCTAGGAGATAAAGGCTAGAAACCGGTTCCATTACTCAAACCATTAAAGTCCTAGACCTCAGAGAAAATATTAGCATTCCCCGGGATCTTCACATTTTTCTTCTGTTAACTCAAGGCTGTTATTTATCTTTGCGACTAGAAATTAAAACCTACTGAGAGGTATTTTGTTTGTCTGTTTATACTGGGGCTTCAGGCACTTTTTATTTTATTTAATCTTAGTGCATGCTTTTCCAGTTTTTTTTTTTTTTTTCCGCTACCATTTAAAAACACTTGAGGGAACTGCATTTCATTAGTGCTGAGAGATTTAGAGGAACCAGTGTTCAGGTAACCCCAGCAGTGGGGGAGGAGGGAGCGGTCCTAGTATTGACTCACCGGAAGGCAGAAGGTGGGCTTGGGGACGCATCAGACTTCGTATAACACTCAGTGTGGCATAATTTCTTTCCCTGAACAAGCTAGACTGTGGCCATCTCTGATTTTATTTTGCATTAAAAGACAAACCTTCCCAAGAAAGGATGGGTAGAGGGGAAGAGTTTTATGTTTTTAAGAGATTGACAACATAAAATTATTGGCTTATGAATCAATAAAATTTGATACCCAAATAAAACAGCTTAAATCTTGCAGGAAATCCTGTAACACCTCATGTCTTTCACAGATGTGTACTTTAGCTGCCTTGCGATCATAATAACTATAACGCATGACATCTTCATTTTATAATTTCAAGGCAAAATATTTTAAGGGGCAAACAAAACCACGTAAAGCTTACCTACTCCTTTGGGGCCGGAATTTTAGGCAACTTTAACAGAGTGGCCTGGCTCGTGACCATGACCAACAAGCATATCTGAGGAGACATTAGTCTGAGCAATCAGGGCTCTTATTTGCTTTGACACCGAGAAAACTGGGCTTGTTTCATACCTCGCATGAGAAAGACCTAAACTTAGGATGGGCCTCAGAGGTCCACACACTGATCCTATAAGACTGCTCATTGCATGCCCACATCACCGGGCTCCATCAGATCATGCCCTTGTGTGCATCCGAGACTAACTAGTGTGAAGGGAAAGCTCACAGGCACAGATGACTAAGGCCAAAGGAGCCAAACTCATCTGTGTGTGTTACTTACAGAACACTGGAGAAAGGGCACTAAAAGAGCAGTGGTGATACATTCTTAGACTAACAAAAAGAACAGAGATTCTCTGAGGAGATGGTGGCACAGGTACCATCATCCAACCCATGTGTAACAGCAGAACACCTTCAAGATGGGGCTACAGTGATTCTTTGCAAATGTCACTGAGCAAAGCTGGAGTCCAGTCTCCGAGACACTAAAAAGGGAACCGTTGGCACCCAGGTGACTGCCGTCTACACCGACTGCTTTTCTCTATGGTCCACTCACCATGGGGTCAGAACTGTTACTGCCAACATGCAGGGAACGGTTTGTCAGGTCAAATCCACCGAAACTGCAAGTTCTCTGTGGAACAAGAGAGGGTGGGTGGAAATATCCCAGTTACGCTCACATCACAGCCCACACACAACCCAACACACGACCCCTGTGCATAGCACTTCTGAGCCACAAATACATGTACAGAATGGGAGTAGGACAAGATGTGATGAGGGAAAAACATATGATTCCTGTCATAGGAGACCTTCCTGATCTGGTGTTCTCATGGATCACCCGGGGGCTAAAATTCCCTCAACATGCAAAAACAATGACTGTGGTCTTGGGAGTTCTGTGCTCTGCCAGAGACAGCAGGCCTTTCAAAACGACTTTTGTCATTTAGTTTTAAACCATCAAGGAGGGGAAAGAAAGCATGTTTATAATCATCCAATCAGGCCAACTGGGTTAGTCACTTACTGTCCCCCCTTCTCCATCCTGGACAAAAATGATGACAATTTTCCCATCTAACTGCTCAACTTAATTAATTTTAACCCCTTTTCTCACAGTGGATGACACCACATTGTCTGTCACTGATCAGACACTCCACTTTCAGTATGAAAAACACTGTTGCAAAAAAAAAAAAAAAAATGGATGAAAAGTTTATTGTGCTTTTAGATGGTTTCAAATTTTGTAGAAATATTTATATTTTTATGATTTTCTGTTTCCGGACTTGTGTCCAATTTCTCCTGTTTTTCTAGCAAAATAAAAATAAAAAAATCAGATGCCCATGCCTGTCTCCTCTTGCCAAGGCACATTAATTTTTGTTGTAGGTCATATTTTAAAAGCAGTTGGTGAGAACACTAGAATAGCAGATCTGGGCTCTAATGTTTTCTTTGTGCTACCTGCTGCTCAGAGGTCATAATGATAGTCACAAAATGGAAGGGATGAACATAAAAGCAGGATATAAACTATGAAAACTGCTTCTTTTAATCAGATATATTTTGGAGATATCAATGTACTGCATCGAGATAGGAGACACAGTCTAGGATGGAAATGAGAGGGCTTGTATCATTGTACATAGATCCAACTTTTGATTCTGCTACTTGCTTGCTGCATGACCACAACCGAAGTGCTAAAACTCTCTGAGTTTAGGATTCTGAACTGAAACTACATACATTACAGACCTGAAGACCCTAGCACATTGTCGCTCATAGAGCAGACACTCTGGACATTGGTTTATTCTCTGATGTTTCTTTCATGTTGGTTCTGCTAAGAGGCTGGAAGCTCATCTTGATTATTACTTGCAGGTTAGGTTTAGTCAAGATTTAAAACATGCAAAGGAGGGGTGGGAACTGCATTCTGCATTTTATAATCTGGGCATTCCATAGTAAAACCCAAGCCTCCAGGAACAGGCCACACAGGGAGGTGGCAGTTATGGTACACGAGAGGAGCAGAAATGAAGGGCATTTGGAACCACCCACCTCTCAGCAACACTGTTGGTACTGCTTTCAATAACCACTACTTGCTCACTTTCCAGTGGAGATTAGCTCAATTGCATACTTTACAGCAGGTAACCTTGTTTTCTTTACAGTCAACTAGTTTTGTGTCTACCTAGTCCATAGAAAGACAAAGACTCCTCCATACAAAAGGAATCTTCAGCTCACCTAATTGGGAAGCAATATTATGGCCACCCGCCAAGACAAATCTGTAGCATTAACTTTCCCCAGTGGCTTATGGTGCCAAATGCATTTTCTCAGTTCTGCAAAGGCAGGGACTTTATTCTAGTTCCTTTCCTGTGACTCAGGGTTTCACAGACATGGTATGGCGCCCAGATGCCTGAACACTTTATGGCTTTTGCACATCCCTGCTTTAAATGACAACATGGCCTGCAACACTGGAGCCCAGCATGCTTTCTCTGATGCATATGAAATAACTCCCAAGGAATTTATGTGGAAATGATGACTGTAATAAATTAGAAGCTTATTTAGGTTTTCATGTGCCTGCTGTATGCATTTATTCCTAAAATAAAGGACTTAAGAGAATGGACTGGTTTTCAGACTCATCAGCTAAAATCTCTCCAATCAATGTGTTAAGATATCTGAAGCAGATCGTTACTCAACAGTGGAGGGCTAACAAGCACTGAGCACGGCCTGGAGGAAGCTCTCACGTCTTGTGAGATCACCAGTTCTCAAACACTCCTTCGGGAGGGAAAATGGATTATAAAAGCAATGAGAGAAAGAGAAAACAATCTTTGAACTCTGGTGATCTACATAAATGAAGCATAAGCAAAATATTTTTAGCTCATTCATCTCTTGTACTGATAATTATAAAAACATTTTTGAATGATGCTTGGGATGAGGAGAGTGAGTCAATGGGATGGGCATGCAGTTGAGAACATGTTTGGAGAGGGGCTGAATTTGAAAAGGGACGAGGTTCCAAAATGTCATGCATGTCTGTTTTCCCAAATAAAAAAAATTGAATGAATAAAAATTAAAAACAAGACACATGACTGTTTCCGGTGAATTCAAAGCGTTATCATTTCCCTGAGGTTGTGTCAAGCAAGTATGGCATCTCTGAGGGACAAAAAGATCAAGGCAGAAGATTAAAGCAAACTGTGCACCTTGGGGGTAAAGTGAAGGAAGTGTATACAACCAAGAGAATGAAAAGGAGCATTTTAAGTGAAAGATACAAAGAAATAAGAGAGTGTAAGACCAGTGATAGAGCACTTACTTAGCATGCATGAGACTGTGGGTTAATGCCCCAGTACCAAAATAACAAAACCAAACAAACAAACAAACAAAAACAACACCCATAGCTTCCTACTGTTAGAACATTGACTTTATCCTATGTTTTCTGAATGAGAAAATTAATTTTTTTATGATTATACAGTTGTACTTAAAAGAGCAGTTATGCACAGATTTCTAATTTAGCCCTGAATACATTACTTAGCAGGGATTAAAAATGCCCAGTACCATATGCCTTAAGCTCTTAGCATATTAAAATTATCCAGTGCATAGCACCATCGTTAGTGAGTAGCAGTCATGTTTGGAGGCGAGCTGGCAGATGAACTGGGCTCAACTCTGACACTAAGACCAGTGTGTTACAAAAGGCAGGGTGGTCAGGGTACACCAGAGACTGAATGAATGAGTAACAAAGAAAATTCTGATATTAAAACAAAACAAAACAAAGAAAACCCAAACATTGTTGCCATGATACAGAAAGAGACAGAAGGAAAGCTTTCCCATCAGACTGATAGCAGAAGTGTTGCACAGCTCACAAGAACGGGAAAAGACAGAAAATAAAATCTAGGACGGAAGTCAACACACATGGGAATATTTTCAAAACTCCAAAGCGAGGAAAGACCCAAAGATTCTCTGAGAAGCAGAGCAGGGCATTTGAAGGATGGCAGTGGCCAATCCGTCTTCGATTTCACAAAAGCAGAACTCGATTGCATGAATTTAAATTACAGTTATACAGTTCTGGACAAGAACATCCTATTCATGAACGTGAAGGAACCCTGGGAAAAGCGACCGTGGAAGCCTATTCTTCTCTAAAGGTTCTTTCAGACCTCTCAAAGGGGCTCTGGGCCAGCAGCCCCGGGAGGATTAAGCAAGGTGCCAGAGTATAGCGGTGCCAGCTCCGCCTCACTCTGTCCCCTTTTACATGGGCCATTGTGCAAACTCCAAGTTAGGTGGGAATCCCAGGGGAGAATATCTATACTCTCAAGTTTAAACTAAGTCACTCTCTGAAAGGAAAAGTTGAACTAGGCTTTGCTGATCCTTCAGGATGAAAACTAAAACACAAAAACATTTTGTTATATAAGTCATCATACAAGTAAGCACTTTACTTTTTTGTGCATATGAATTCATGTGGCAGCCAAGGACATTACTACATGCTAATTCATCTGTTTAAAAATGGTAATAATATTGAATTAGTTTCATTTAAAACAAAGGGGCTTTAATTGATTTTTTTTCTCTCTGAGATCTAAGGACTTTCTGGCTGGCTCTACTAATGAAAGAAATGCATTTGACAATGGTAATGGTAGACTTGCCATCAGTTCTTTCCTATTAACTGAAAAAATAAGCATCTCTTTCAGGGTCTAATGTCCTCCTGCTTCCAATCAGCTTCTTTCAAGTCAAGTGACAAGATAACTGGGCATGCAGACAGCCACTCCTGAACCCTGGAAGATAAGCTTCAGGGTTTAGTTTCAGTTTAAAAAGTCAAATAGCTTCAGCTGGCCAGAGGGCAGATGGAAATAAGGGGAGAGGCACTACTACTAAAGAAAGAAGGGCTAGAGATCGGAGGTGACAGTGGAATGGACCCCGGAAGAGATGAGGCGAAGACAGGATGACAGCTTGGCAAGGAGAGAGGCCATAATGCTTGACTGCACATCACGGAAATGACAAGGCCTTCCTCACGGCCATCCTGGCGACTCACGGACTTCTGGTGGATTCTCAAGAGAACCCTTTTTGTACAGCGGTCCACCGTGGCAGCCCACTTCCTCTTTGCCTCCTCATCCTCCTCCAGCAAGCACCGCCTCAGGTCCTGCTTCTCAGCCTTGCTCAGCGTCCTGTCTGAGGCAGGACGCACGAGCTGGGTCAGGTTCAGGTGGCTGTAGAGACTCCGCTCCACCACGTAGGTGATATTGAACTCGCTGACCGAGGTGCGCCCTCGGCCCCTCCTGCCAGGGAAGCCGCAGCCGCCGCCCCCCTTGGGCTTCTGCCGGGGCAGCAGGTCACAGGTGGTGCCATTTACGCCTTTTCTGGAGGGACGTTGGCAGAGAAAAGTTCTGGAACAGGAGTAGTTAGTATCCGTTTTCTTCAAGCGGATTTGCTTACGGACACTTTGAACCTCCTCCAGGGACACCAGAAAGTGGTGCCTACGACGATGATTGTCATAGAAGAAAACGCCATCGGTACTTACCCCATGACTCAAGGACCCAAGGCCTTTCTTCATTTCCCCCTCCGTGAGGGAGCGAGACACTTTCTGGGCCTTTTCTTCTTCTGGATAGGAGAAGAATGTCCCCATCTTCTTAGGGGGCTTAATCAGGCCCCGACTCTCTCCTTTGCTGAAGGTTTTGACCAACTTCCGGCCAGCTCCCCAAGTATCCAGGCTGCTTGATGACGGAGATGGGGTGAGAGAATCCGAATCGTCTTCAGGAGGTTTCTCCGGGGCACCATCATAGAAAAATGGCTTTTTGTGCACTCCAGAGTAGAGTGCGGCTCTTTCATCCAGGACCGGGGAATTTTCAAACACATGCTCCTCTCCACCTGGAAGGGAATCAACACAGGGTCTCCTGTGAATGAGTGTCCCATAGACCTTTGTCTATCCCTATAAAACACAAGTTAGCCCACACCGTTAATGGTAACATTCCACCTGCCTACACTATGATTTTCTTTACAAACATGACCCGTGTCAACGCACATGGAACACAGACGGGAATCCAACTGCATGGTATGGTTTCAAAAGAGCTTAACGTTAAACATTTGTAAGGTTCTGTATCTGGTGGCACAGGCCAGTAATCCCAGCTGCTGCGAAGACAGAGGATGGCAAATTCAAGATCAACTCCATCAACTTAATGAGACTCAAAATCAAAGCTTGATGGTGTCATTGTTCCTGACTATATGTCCTCCTGGAGGCAGAAAGATCAGGACTCCAATGTCATCCATCCCTTGCTAAATACAGAGTTCAAGGTCAGTCTAAGCTACATGAGACCCTTACTCCAAAAAAAAATAAAAAATAAAAAAAAATAAAAGAGGGACAGGGATATAGCTCAAATGTAGAGAGGGGCTTGTCCAGCTTTAGCATGTGTGAAGCTTTACATTCAAACCCAGTACTACAAAACTAGAAGGGAAAAGTTGTGATAGCTGTTATTCTCCTTCAAAACAAGTTTGTAGACCAACATCTTCCTTGACCTATTAAAAATGCCATTCGAAAAATCAAGGTTCGTCATTACAGTGATATATGTTAGCATTTCAAGATAATTGCCACCCAGGTTTGTAAGTGCAATCCCCAGAAGCTAGGCTCAGTCTTCCCCATCCTGAAAGGCCCTCCTTTATGTCGGCTCTAGTGGCTTTTATACTTGGAGTGTGATGAATGCCATGTGGCAGACAATGATTTTCTTTTTTTATTGGTACATATGCCATTTAAGTGATTAAATCTCCAAGAGAGTTTGGGTGGGGGAAAACATCATAAAGGGTTATGCTTGCAAATGTGATTGACAAATGGTCTCCAGTCTACTGGCCAAATACAAAAAGCCAGAGGAACTGAGTGATCCCAGCCAGATAGTCCCATCCACCCAGCCCCGAAGGAAACAGCAAGGGCATTTAAGGGCCTTGACACGCAAGCAGCTCACTGAGTGTTCCACTTGGGCTCAGGCTTCCAGGCCTTCAAGCTCTCTCTGGGGCCAGGTAGCGAGCCAAGCCTTCTGAAGGCGCCCAGTGGAAAGGCCTGGATGTGCTGGCAAGAGAGCTGAGTTCTTTTCTGCATGTGTTATGTGAACAGATGTGAAGGAGGAAGTAGGTCAAGCTGTGGGTGTAGTGATCCCAACTGGCTGCACCCCTCAATTATAAGGAAACACTGGAGCCTTGCAGCTTTCCACCAGCTGAACAGCGGAGAGGGGAAAAATACAAAGTTCCCTGGAGCAGCTGCGACAAAGGTGCCAATGAGTCTTCAAGTGTCAGGGAGAAAGACAGGGAAGTCAGTAAAAATGGCACCCATTTCTAGAAGATTCCAAAAAGTGGCTTCCAAAAAAATGGCTACCCTTTCTAATTGGACGGATAGTTGTTGCAGAAGAATTCTGCTAGGAAATCCCACTTAAGACCAAACTCCAATTCGTGTGCAGAAGTGAGTGGCAGAGATGGAAGGACAAGTGAAGAAAGAGAAATCAAAACGATGCCCAACCCCAGGGTCTCTAAAGAACTGTTTGAGGACCTTTTGGGAGAGTTTCAGGCAAGGTCAAAGCTCAGACTGGATTTAGCCAAACCACAGACAGTACACAAATATAAGGGATGCTTCCTGATCTCTCCTCCGGATGCCTACCAGGTATGGAGAACAATAGTACTTATTTTTCCCCAAGAAATATAGTTACTTCTAAAGATTGTGCTGTGCTTCCAGGAAGAAGCAACTGGGCCAAGACTGGAGGCCAGCTTGGTGGCCAAGGTAGTCCCTCAGTGAATGAACAAGGTCATGTTAAGCCTTCCAGATGGCACAGATCCATGAAAAGTCTAAGCAACACAGTCCTGAAGAGCTTCATGGGGGCCTGGTGGGTTTTGCCCAGTACTCCAAGGACTTGCTGGCACTCATTGGTGGTGGTCCAAACATCTTCTAGACTGTTTTTAGGTCACTCATCATCCTTTTAAACACCCCTGTCACAACTGGGCCTAGCACTATCTGGGACACACATGTTTGTGACATGTGCAGCAGTAGGCTGATATGGCAGCTCCCAGTAAGGAACTTTGAGTGGAATATGGAAATGCCTCCGAAGAGGCTGTGTCAGCCTTTGTGAGCAAGCCTGTGCAGAGCGGGCTTTACTGTCCATGTCTAAGAGGCAGCCCGGAAGCCCAGCCCTGACCCGGGCTCCCTGAATACACCATTCTTCTCCTACCCTCTTCTGATCAACAGGAACAGCTTTGCTATTGCAGGAGTGGAGACCCAGGTGAGCTCTCCCCCTGCACACTGTGCAGCTTGCTTCACAGCGGCCTTTAGCTTAATGCAGCAGAGATGGGAACACCCAGGAAAGGTGCTTCGGACAGGAGGATGTGGGACCACTTAATGCAAGGATACAGCTTTGCACAAGTCCTGGTCTTCAGCCATATCTCCGGGACCTCGGGCATGTGTTTCTCTCTGAGCCTCCTCTGCCACACCACCTACCTATCTTTGCATACTAGCCAATGTGTTTACTGTAAGCATTAAGTTATCACAGAGACACTTGAAGCTTCCTCAGTTGCTAAAGGCTGATGGTTCTCTCTTGGCTTAATACTACTCGTGCGCTGCGGGGAGAGGTACAGACAACACACAGGAGTGGGCAAACAACAGGCACAAATGTGGCCTGTGTTTAATACTATCCAGGGCTGCCGTGTCAGGATATACCTGGAAAATCAATGCAGTGGGGGAGGACCAGGGAAGGGACTCTAAAGTCACTAGTTTTCAGGAGCTATAGAATGTCCAGAGGGGCAGGATATGTTGAAGAAGTCTGGCTGACAGGCTGGCTGGCTGGCTGGCTGGCTGAGTGACCTTGAGGAAGTTCCCCGGCTTCTTTATCTCAGTCTCCTTACTGGTGAAATGAGTAAGTGCCTGCCTCTGGTGTGTATTCCAGAGATGGCATATTAAAAGGCAACATCAATTCTCAACATGTGAGAAAGTGTCTCATATGCAGAATGCATCCCGATACAGGGTTGTTATTTGCTTTAGTACTGCCACAGGCATACAGGCAATCGGTGACTTGATCATATCTCTGTAAGTCCAAGGGCACTGGGGAAGGGAAGCATCTCTTGACTCAAGTAGCCTATCCCACCTCCTGGTCTTCCTGCCAATAGGAACCTCAGAGAGCCTGGTCACATGGGGGCTGGAGGCAAACCCTCTGAGCTACTTACACACACACACACACACACACACACACACACACACACACACCTCCCAGCTCATCACCCACCAGAGCAAGCCTGCCTTCATCTGTGAGGCCCAGCCACACTCAGATGACTTTGGATGTAGAAGTGCATAAGGTGATCATTTTTGACCCTCATTGCCTCTTTAGGTATTTTGCCATTCTCCTACCCCCAACGTAGCTGAATTGATATCCTCTGCAAATTTGGATATTTCAAGATGTATAAGATACTATTGTGGCAAAAGGCTGCACAGGACAAGTCCCACTGGATAAACTGGGCTCCGTACTAAGTGTGTTATTCATTTCATCTCACTGATGGACAAGCCCCGTAACTCTGATGGTCATAACTGAGATTTGATTTTGGCACCTGCGGGAGGTTTGCTTGACAATGTACACTCGGTGAGTGAATGCACGGTTCTCTAGAAAAGTACAACTTTCTTCCCCGTGTTCATATTTCAGAAAGGCCTCCCGTTACATGAGGAAAGCTCATAAATTTAGCACAGTGGAAACCTTGGCCAACAGACAGGTATTAAAACATCCAAATATAAACAGAATTACTATACCAACGGACACTCACATCCAACCCCAGAACTAAAGGCAGGTCCACATTTATGAAGTTATCCATCAAGCTTATTTCTCTTGACAACTCCCCCCTTCCTCTCCCCCACCCCACTCTTTTGCAGTTACCAGCATCTTCAATTTTATCCTAAAGAATTAAATCAAACAACAACAAACAGAATTAGAAAACATCACTAATAGCAAGAAACTCTTATCTATGAAAGAGGAAACTCAGTTCCCTGTGTATAATTTGGTTTTATTTACAAAGATCAAAAAGACATCTATAGCAATAATTCCAAAACTGACATGTTAAAATTTGAAATTCCTCATAACATAGACATATTTTCACAAGTAATGTATTTTCTTATTAAAGCAGTCCAATATTTTCCCAATTTACTCACTATCATTTTATAAACAAGAACATCTTAGAGCTGGGTGGGGTGAGACAGAGTGTCACTATGTCACCCATAGTGCTCCCCTCTCTGGTTCAGGATTGCTGGGATTTTAGCCCTTTTGCTGTATATAACCACATTCAGGAATATTGAGCTTGTATCTGATCTTTCTTGAGGTAGATTTCTACATTGTTTTTGCATACTACTAGAAGTGAAAATGAATAAGGTCATAATTTAAACAATCATAATTGTATTTCAAAGGTAACTATTCATTCTGATGATCCCCAGTTGATATCTCTGTTGACATTATTGTTTCATCTTCCCAGCCAGCTCTTAAAGATTCCCCTTCGAATTGAAAGCCCCTTTTGAATAGAGACCTGAGATTGTTTCCTAGAAGAACAAAGCAGCCCTGAGGCTTTGAAGGGATATTGAGCCTTGATTGCTAGGTGGTTTTGCAAGATGGATGCACAGTCTATCAGATTTGCATGAGAAGCCCACCATATTACAAACTCCAGTCCTCTATGGAAGAGAGGCTTATGCTGAGAACATATAGGGTTATATATGGCAACGTAAGCTCATAATTAAAGCTGTACCACACCTTCAGATTTTATCATCAGACGCTAGCCATTTCCCATCTCTCTCACATGGAATTACTAAGTGCCCAAAATACCTGACACCGGGATCCTTCATTCCAGAACACTGAGCATTGCCCTGCTGGCACAGAGACAACTGTCAGCCTCAGGCAGAACGCAATTCATTTCCTACTTGAAATCATATTCTGTTTCTACTGAAAATCTGACCCCAAGTAGTTTCTTTTAAAAGAGCCAGGGTGGGGTTTCCTGCCCCCATCCCTGTTTTTTTGTTTTGTTTTGTTTTGTTTTTTTGTTTGTTTGTTTGTTTTTTTGCTTTGTTTTGTTTTTTACCTTCAGTGTTGGGCTTTTTCATTTCTTCCACCCTAATTAGTTTCTTTCTGACTCTTCGAGTAGAGTTTACCAGCTTGTGTAACCTCTTAAACTTCACCGACTCCTCCGTCTCATCATCCGATTGTTCTCTTGACTGGCAAAGAAACACAGGAACAGTTAATCAGTTAATTGCTCCAGAGCCGTGCCCTCCCGGCTGGCATAGCTGGCCTCTCAGCCAAGGCCAAATATCCACAGCTCCGCTGCCAAACTTGGGCCATCAACAAATCTACCCAATGGGTTTACAAAACCCCACATACCCTGAGATGGCCTAAATCAGCAGAAAGTCAATCCTAGGGACAGAGTACACATTCTTGGCATTGACTACCATGGGGGTGTCTGTCCCATCATCCCGCTCCCTGTGACTTTCAAGCCAAGTCCAGCAGGACTTTCTCCTCAAGCTGGCCATGTAATTCCAGTTACACTGCTGTGGTCTGGGCCAGGCTCTCCTCTGTCGGGCCCACTGGGACTTGCTGTTGAACGTGGTCATCAACCACTTCTCCAAACCAAACTCTTGTTGACTTTTTCCAGCTCCTACCCCCCCCCCCAAAAAAAGAATCAAAACCAGAAGGCAGAAAAGGGGAAGTAATGAAAAAAAAAATGAGAAAGAAAGGAAAAAAACAAAAACAAAAAAAAAAACCTTCTTTCCTATTTGTTAGAAACGCCTGCCACATCACACAGCCGTCCATTCCACCTCCCCCAGCTCCTGAGGGCTCACGAGGCAAAGCTGAGGACAGCCCCACATTCCTCCAAAGAGACAAGGGAAAAAGCTGACCTTTACAGCCATACAGTACAGTCCATATTCCCCAGCATCCCGTTCCATTTTGCAGCGATTCAAGTGTGCAGCGCTGGCCCAGCTGTTTTCCCTCAAGTATCCAACATTACAGAGAGGGGGGAAAATTCTCTCTCCATAGCAGTGACCCAGGCTAAAAACAACCCTTTCCTTGTGAACAGAATGAGGGCTTCATTTCCAAGTCCATTCCAACATTCCGTATGCAACTTCCTCTACTGTGAAAAAGCAAAGGAAGTTTCCCACTGTCCCACTGGAGCGGCGTGTGGCATGCTGCACCACCCGGCCGGCTGCTAGGGCCTTTTGGAAGCACCCCAGCCTCAGCTTACTCGGCAGCCAGTGAGTGAGCAGGTCCAGTTCATCCTGCACATCATCCCTTCATGTCCTCAGTGCAATTCTTAGGGAGAGCGATGACTCAACCCCACCCCCCAACAAAACAAAACAAACCACATCTCCAATTCAAGACCAGTTAGGGAACTTTCCCCAAGAAAAGCTCTCCCTAATCTCAATTTTATAGGCCATAAAATGGGTAAATAAGTGGTGGCAGAGAATGGCACAAAGGAAGAGGGGTGGAGACCATCTGAATTATTTAGAAATGGTGCTTGCTGGGAATACACAGATACTTTTCTCAGCCTGGTAATACTCTCCTCTGGATAAGCTTGATTTATTTTCTGCCACCTCCTTGCCTTGGAGATGACTGCGTGGAGCCACTGTACTTTATTCCTGTAGACTATCTTCGAACAATTCACTCACTAATGATTAATTAGCACAGACCTCAGCAAATCATCAGACTGGAATATTCCTCAGTCTTCCCGCCTGTGAAGTGTGTCCACATCTATGTCCAACTTCTCTCAAATTCCTAGGAAAATACTGCCTACAGCTTCACAATTAAAGTTGCCTAGTGTGGGGGTGGAGAGATGGCTCAGGGGTTAAGAGCACCACGGGCTGCTTTCCCGGAGGACCTGAGTTCAATTCCCAGTACCCACATGGAGTTCATGACTGTCTGTAACTCCAATTCCAGGGGATCTGGCATTCACATACATGCAGGCAAAACACAAATGTGCATAAAATAAAAAAATAAACAAATCTTTAAAAAATTGCCCACTATCTATTGACAGACTAGAAGGAAAAGGGGAAGTTATGTTGAATAATTAGAGTTAATGCACTTAGTTCAAAGATGCAAAGTTAAAAAAAAAAAAGTTAAAATAGTAAGTTTAATTCCAGATACAAAATGATACACATCTGGTTTAAATTTCATTTCTACTTTGTTGAATTGTTGACGTGTAATGAAATGAAATGGTCAGAGTGGCCAACCAGAGGCATGAGAACTTGGTTACCCTCATTCTGGGTCATGAGCACCTCAGTAACCCATAGTGCACTGAATTCATGCAAATGTTTCAAAACATTGCATCCTCTCATTGCAGTTCACGTGCCAGCAATTCAAGCAGAAGAATTAACTTTATATTACACAAGGCCTCTGTATATTCAAACAATGACAACAACAAACAAACAAAACCAGGCTAGGTATCTATCCCTGACATTATAAATTCCAGAGTCAAGTCAAGGTTGAAATAAGCACCAACTGTTTGCACTTAAGAGATAGGAAGCTAGATTGTGAGATTAAAAACCAGCCATGTAAACACATTCCATAGCTAGTCTGTTGGTAGTGGCTACAGGTGGCTTGTGTTTTGGGGAGGGTGGGGCATACGAGTGTACAGAAAGGAATGGAATATAGAAATCACTAACACAAAACTCCTCTACAGAGACACAAAGTTTGCATGGAAAAGGTACATTTGCATGAACTTTCCAGGAAGAAATAAAAACAGTCACACCAGGACATGAGACTGAAAGCCAATGTTCTCTCTCAGAGCCTTCCTTTCCTGGGCCTGCATTCACTGTGATGAAGAATAACATAGTCCAGGTACTTCCTTAATCTCTTTCACATGTCCTACCTCCTTTTTGAGGAACGTGAGCTCTTGAGAACTTTAAACTGATGGTTTTTCTATTTTTCTAAGTCAGTGGAGGTTCTGGGGGCATCGGCCATTGACAAATCTCAAGCCACAGCAACCATGGATTTCCTCTGTGGTGTCATGTTTTGGACCCCAGGCAGGAAGAAATGTATACTTGTGCATGTTATCTTTAATTAAAAGATTCCTCTACAGTCAGCCTGGGCAGTCTTCAAGACAGTTTTCATTGATGGGGAGGGCCAACTTCTGGATTCCTCAGGAGTCCCAGGGAAGAGACTTGTGACACAATAGTCTTTAAAAAAAATTTTCCATCCAGCTGTTTTAATATAAAGACACAAGTGACTGCGTTTCTTCTAAACTGAGTAATAAATTCTTCACTGTATATTTCTCTTTCAAAGAACCATGTGTTACTTTCTAAACGCAAGCCATACAGCATGCTTTTGACATACATGTGTATATTATGTATGTATATATATTTTATTCATGAAATTGACTATCATTAAAGGGAGTTTGAGAATCTTTTAAATTAAGAATCATTAAAAATATGTGCATGTAATTTTTAAAATATAAGTAATTTTTAGACAGAGTCTTAAGAAGCAGAAAATGAATATTGTATTTGGAAAAAGAAAAAAACCTTCCTACCCAAAGGGGTTTGTACAATAAAGGATTTTGCCGGGCATTGGTGGCACACACCTTTAATCTCAGCACTCAGGAGACAGAGGCAGGCAGATCTCTGTGAATTCGAGGCCAGCCTAGTCTACAGAGCGAGTGCCAGGATAGGCTCCAAAGCTACAAAGACAAATCCTGTCTCGGAGGGGGAAAAAAAAAAAAAGGATTTCTACTTTGTATATAAATGATTCTAAAAAACACTCAGCCAACACAGATCCACATAAACCAAAACAAAAACCTAAAAGCATATGTTCACACATAGTCAAACATTTTTCCCATCTCTATACCCTTTGTTAGTTTACTAAGGTCTCTAAAGTAAACTTCAGCTTGATCATCTTATAGACAAAAGGGAGAAGTCCATCAGCTTTAGCCGCCCCATCCCAAACCATCCCGAGGGAAAAAAAAAAAAAGCATGGTCCCACCAAAAGATATGCAAAATGCCTTTACAGTACTGTAAACAGAAACATTTCATTTCCAAGCTTTCTGCTGCAGATTTTTTTTTTCCACCAGAAAACCCATATGGCTCAACTTTTAATTACTTTGGCTAATGCTATATGTAGTAATTCTGTGGTGAATGCTTAAGTGTTTCATTTCTGGTTTCCATGGCAACATTACATCAGATTGCAGACAGCTGGCTCCACAGTTTTAAACCATAACAAATTGACCAAGCCAAGGCACAAAACTATAGCTGCTTTAAAGAGATAGCACACCCTTGGCCTGCTAGGCACTGAGTAAAGCATCTATGGGGCCATTTGGCATGGACACGAGGGTGGAGCCTCCTTTCTCCCCAGCTTCTCTTGGAACAAGTGCATCCATTGACACATCTGTGATGCTCTTATGGGAAGAGTCATGGAGCCAGCGTGGAGAACTTTTTATAACACAACTACACGAAAGATGATTGGAAGGGGGGGGCAAGATTAATCACATCTGTAAATGAAAAGGTCTGTGTGCTGGTGTGCTCCAAAAGCATCCCCTTACTGCTTGTTCAACCTAAGCCCAACAACGCTGCCTGAGACAGATACTTCACAGGACCTTATAACAAACAGTTCTTTACATCTGTGATGTACAGAATAAGTGGATTTCCAGAAATTTGGTGGCACGGTAGCAACGAATGTGCCGGAATAAATGTTAATCCATACTTGCAAAGAACAAACAGATCTTTAGGGTTACTGCTTGCCTCCCCAGCTCCAAATCTGAGACACACTGTCACAGTGAACAATCCTCCAAATCCAAGACACATTGTCACAGTGAACAATCAGAAAAACAAGACTAAGTCCCTTTATCTCACCCGGAGCTATATATACACCATCATACAATACAGAAGCATTTCTGAGAAGTATTTTTCAATTGCAAATATATTTGCTTGAGGGAGTCACACAATAATTTTGTTTGAGTCCAGTCGATAAGAAGATATACACACTTTCACTTCCTACAGCCAAGCTGTCACTGAAATGATTCTAAAACTTATGAGAAGAAAGCCAACTAATCGTAGACTTATTGAAAACAATGCTGAATGCTGTCTGGATTTAAGCCTTTCACACAGAGTCAGCCCAAGTCTCAGAGTGGCTCCAGCCCATGCTTGCTCATTCTTTCATATTCTCAAAATAATATTTAGTATTCTCCAAGAGTTATGTATGGTAACTGGATAAACCCACTGGGCAAGAAGGCAGG